GTTGTTTCCATAAACAGATTAAAACTTGCAAAATATATATATTTAATATTCAATTTTTTCCCCAGTTAATTAGACGTGCTGAATATGTAATTATTTTTTAGGAGTCAAACAAAAGGTTTTTACAAAAGTATGAATGGAATTCAATCTGTGAAAATTTCAGAGTTTTATCGCTCTACCTCCTCCCATTATTTGCGATCCAGTATGTAGTATATTATGAATTTGAGAGGCATCGATACTGTTAATAAAACTTTAATTTCGGTTGTATAGTAGTTACGTAATGTTACAATATATTTGCTTAGTACGAACAATTCTTGTTTAATTTTCACATTAAATCTAACTAAAATGTCAAAGATCACAATTGCATGAGATATTGCGAGGAAATTGACTAGTGCATAGTGTGAGTTTTACATAACAGTTATGTTCTTTCCTTCTCTGCTCGAGGAACGTCGGTCTGTAAGAGAAAAAAAATTCTATTAGCATATCTATCTACATGATGTATTTATTGGAAAAAAAATTTCTTTCCTCTTATCCTTTTTTCTTTTCTCTATTCTCTTTTTCTCCATAATATAATTATATATATTTATTTTGATGAATTCTTTTTTCTTTTTTTTCATCTATACACGTGAGTTTGTGTCATATTTTGTATTTGATAGGCAGCTAGATACAACAATATGAATGAGGAAGAGATTGAGTTTTTTGCGTTCTTTTTTTTTCTATTCAACAACGTTTCTGTTGACCGTCTTTCTATTCTACTAATGTATGTACAATCTTTAAGAGTTATTTTTATTACTCTTTATTCGTACATTATGACCGCGACCAAGGTAAAACTATTGTCGAATAGCGCTACAATGATTTGACATGCCTTATATCTACATAGCATGCATAGACATACACGCTTAAGGGCCAATATCCGTACGCATTGTCAAGGTGGGAAGTTGATGTTGTCAACATTTCATGGGATTTTTACCATATGGTCTGCGAGAACAACAGAATTTTTTTTAAACTTTTTCATCCTCTATCGGTTGTTTAGAGGACGGGATGGTTTTATTTTGAAAGATATCTTTTTTTCTGAGTAATCGGTTTTGTTTAACATGGTGAACTAACCATTCCTCATAGCAAATATCGAATCTGTCGAATCTAGTCCTGTGTGGTTAGAATTGATTTTTTAAGGTATAGATTTGACACATTTTTATTTTGAACTTGAGTCGATTGAGTCGATTTTCTTAGACTCAAACAATGAGCTCAAAACCGCAGAAAGAAAGTAGTATACTGTTGGTATTAGCGAGTTACAGCGGTTCACCGGCGACACTGAGAAAAAAACGCAACATGGATATTTTTTTCTGAAAACCTTATTTTTATCCGGAACCTATCATATTATAACCCATTTGATTCCATTTCTCGAGCAGATTTCAATTGTTTCATCATTCAGTGTACTCATTTTAGTTATGAGATAATGCATGTAATCTTGACTCATAGTTTCTAACTGTGAAGAAAACTGGCCGTAAGAGTCTGAAACTGAAATACGTGGCTTGCATTGAACACAAAGTGATTAAAACTGTATTGTTCTGTCTAATTTCGTTGGCTTCAATTTTAAGGACACAATATTGACTGCACGTTTTCCCAGACATTTTCTATTCCAAATCTGAGACAGACCAGCTACTGATAACATGCTCTAACATCTATATCACACATCCTGATTGTCCTTGAGAATGTAAAACTATTCATTTACAAATCAAGTTAATTAACAGTGAACGTAACATTAAAAAAGATTTTTCTTAACAAGTTCGATGAATCTTGTTTTCTTTATTTTATAGCATAGATAATTAGAATCGATTTTGCATTTACTGACGACATTTGTTATTTTGCGTCTGTGTATAGAGACTATTTATTATATCACATTTATCCTATTCGAAAGCCATATGAGTGAGTTTCATAGTCAATAGTACATATGTTTAATATAATCACCATAAATAGTAGTTACATAGTATAGAGAAACGAAAAAATGACAGCATTTTTTTTTCTTTCGATATTCTGTCTTCATTTATTAATCATCACTTTTCACAAAATTAATTTGTAGATTTCTTTCAACATCTCTATTAGAGGAATGAGAGTGTTAAAAACAACAATGTAAAGGGTTTAAAAACTAAGATCACTTCTTCAAACATATTATTTTTAATGTTCTATTGTATACTGGATGTATTAATACGCAGATCTGAAAAGTAATCTGTTATTTTGATTAAAAATATATCATTATCGATGCATATTCACTTTAATAATTTACTATTCCTAGGTATTATTTAGAAACATACTGTTTGCAGAATTAGAAAAAGCAATAGGTAGTCGGATATCAATGAAAAAATGTCTCTTTTCGTTCAATTTATCTATTGTGATAACCTTTATTGACAAACTCTCGCCATTTTTCTTTTTTTTAAAACAAAATTACATATAAAAGATAGGATTGACTTTAGTTTATCAGATGTATGTTAATATTAAAGTGACAAGATTTCTTCTGCGTACGTACATATAACGTTGACAACATCGAATGTCGGTTTTTCTGGCAGTATTAATTGAAAATGAATACTTATGTCAGGTTGTGTCACTTATCATTTCACTAAAGAAAAAATGACAACATTGGCTTCGTTATTATAGTATGATTCTTATATGATATTAATCATGAAAAACAAGCTGATACCACTTTCTTTCACATAAATAAACGAAGCAATTATATTCGTCATTTAAAATAATCACACTTCTTTATACCTTGGATTTTGTATTATTTAACAAGAAAAGAGAAGAGCTATTTGTATTCTTATACCAATGTTAGTTAAATAGTTTCTGTTTACTTTAATTTAATTAAGAGTTACTCATGCCTATATTTATTTTATTTGAAATGAGTAAATACAAATCCTATCGAAGGATCAACTTTTATTATCATTTCTCTTCTTTTTTATTATAACGATAAGTATTTGTACGTATGATACATTTGCTTTCCCTCTGGCTATAGCTGATATGTGTCTAATACAACTTCTAAAATATAATGATAATAAGTCGTTTAGTATAAGAAAATTCCAGCATTAACTAGTCTTTTCTTTCTTTCAAGTTAAAATTTTTCTCACAACAACGTTTGTCACCAAATTACTCAACATTTATTAATATACATCTTAGTTCTTACGAACTAGCAATAGTTATTGTTATAAATATGTTTACAAGTCTTGTTATAAAACAGAACAGACATATTGATATTTTTTCTTTCTTATAGAATATGACGCATAGTTATTCATTTTTTCTAAATTTTCTAACAAATGTGTAAGATCACATTTTTTATAAATCACAAAAAGATCGTACAAAATACTTACAATAATTTATTCTTCTCTTCTTTTTTTTCTGCTCTCCGCTCTCACTTCATTTTTACTATATATGCAATACAATCAAGGTAAAAAGATTTGTTTTCTTATGAGAAGTAAAATGACCATGGCGATTAAATCAATGTTGAACTTTGTACGTTAATAGAATGAGAGAATATTTGATTTCTTATACACGATCAGTTCGCCACAAGGATAAGCAGTCAAGTACAAAATATTATAATCAGAGACCCTACTTGAAAAACTTACAAACGCTATTTTTATGTGATTTTTTTCACATTTTTTTTTCTTTTGTATTGTGAACAAAACAAACACCCATAAGTCCATAATTATTGTAATATTCAGTTTAAAAAGCTGACGATTCATACATGCATATATTCAGTATACACAATGGCACATCATATTACGATATTGAGTGCAATTCAGATGCATAATTATTTTATGTAAATTTTTTTTACTATTGTTTTTTTATGGCATATAAACCTTGATGTTTTTTATTCATAAACTTTTATGAGGTAGTTGCGGCAGATCGTTCGCTTATCGAATATTTTTCTTTTTCTTACAAAAAAAAATAATCAATAACATATCAGACAGAGAAAGATGAAGGGAGAGAGACAAAATAGAAAAGTTTACGATATATATTTTTCAGAAATATCAGACAATAAACTTGTCTTATTAATATGGAACAAATGTTTATGATCTGATAGATTAAAATATAAGACACACAGCAGCATGTAAAACACCTTTACAACTAGCTTATTCAAAGTTAAGTGATTTTTTGAGTGACATTAAAAAAGAAAACAGTCCTGTTCACCAGTTTAATAACGTTTAAACAGGCGAGATTTATAATGTTAAATGATTGATGAGTAATGAGTAATTATAACGTAAAAAAAGAACGTTACATGCGTAAACTAAATAAACAAACCGACATTGTTAAAAATGTTTAAAATTATTATACGACATGAATACGACGTGAATAAATATATGCATATCTATTAAACACTTGACAAGGCTCACCCCACTGAACATAACAGATTCTACTATAATCATTAGATTGATCCATAGTTGATTGCCTTCTACGTATTTCACTTTAGATACATCAAATACTTTTACTTTCAGTCTTACATTTTGTCTTAATTTTCATTTCTCCATAGCCTTTCCTTTTTTTTAGATAAATAAAATAGAATATTTATTTGTTGATTTAAGATCATATTACGTCTCGTATAATAAATTCGTTTCTAAAATTGAGTATGAGAAGAGAATGATAATCCTTTCTTCACATTGTGCAATAATCTAGTATCGTTCTACGGCTTTGTCGATTTCAACTATTATTTTAAATTGTAAGTGTTTAGAAGTTATCCTCTTGTTATAGAAAAAAATCCCTTACACAAATGTTTAATAAGAGGTTGAGATAAATTCCTGTAGTGAGAAAGCTTTTCATATATGTTTTCATTCTAAACTGTAATCAAAGTCAATCAGAATATCCTTTATATTTAACTGACTGAATTGACAAAAAAATTGACTCCTTTGAATTTTAGGCATTCTATGATTTTCTACATCCGTATGACTAATGCACACTTGTACTTTCATTTAGAATTATGGTCAGATTAATGAAATAGTACCACATATCCATGAATAATGTCTGGCAATAGACCATCACTTCGTGAACGTATAAAGTCACCTTTCAGTCGAGCTAAAGAGAAAGTTAAGGAGAAAGTTAAGGAGAAAGCTGCTCAGCATAATATCACATTCTTCATACCTCATAATTTTTCCAATGACTCAAATGATACGTCTCATCATCATCATCGATTTCATCGTCCACACATCTCACAAACATTTCACGGTATCAAAGATGCACTAAAAAATAAGACGAAAATATTTGTTGATGAAAAACTTGATTTACATTCGAATAAAACTGGTTTTTACGATTCATTATTTTCACCAAAGACGGAAAATGATTATTATCTTATGACAGCATTAATATGTTTATGGGTGATTGCTTCCTTGTGCATTATACCGTCGATTATCATTGTTTTTACAACATCAAAAACGAAGAAAGATGACGACAAATCAAAAAAGAAGGATAGTGGTGCAAGTACCAATATGATATTTATACATATATTTATTTGTGAATTATTTTATCTCATTTTTGTACTATTAGCAATGATTAATGCTTACAAAGATTTTACACTAGGACCAAATATCTGTGATATAGCAAACTATGGTATGTAAAGTCATTTTAACTATCAAAATTTTCACAAATTATGAATTTAGAAAAGTTGTAGTAAAATACCATAAATCAATTTTAACTATCTTTATTTAAGGTGTTTACGTAACAATTCCCATAATGCAATTTTCATTATTATTTTTATCGCTAGAACGTTTAGTAAAACATTTTAATATTCAATTTACATGTTCAAGAATATTTGCAAGATCATACGTTGTTCAACTCGTTCTTGTCGGTATATGGGTAATATGTGCTGGATTATTGATCGCATTTATTCTTATTAAAAGTCATTTGAATTTCAATTTTATTAAAGATAAAATAACTGATTTGGCGCCACCATTACTCGGTGATCTTACTAAACATTTTAAAAAAAAAACTTTTCGTTGTTCAATCGATGGTCGAATATCGTCAGTATTTAAAACAGGATTCATTATCTTATTTGTTATCCTTATTGTCAAACCAATTATAATAGGAGTTGGATTCAATTTATTCTCACCATGGTGTTGTAAAGGTAAACAGAAAAGAGAGTTAATTAGTAAAGGTGAACATCGAACAACATTTCTTGTTACAATATTTTTATTATTAAATATTTTTTTCTCATTTCCATATTATTTTGTGTCAATGTTCAATAGTGTACTAACGAGGATACAATCAACGAAAGACGTATTTACAATCGTATTAAAAATTTGTTTTATTTTGAGAATATCAAATATTATATTTGAATGTTTAGCATTTTACATATTTGAACGAAATTCATGGAGATTTTTAAGTAAAATATTATATTATTTAACTTGTAAACGTTTTACAAGATTGGAAGTAAATGACGACGATGTACTAACAAGTACAGATAAAGGAGTTAACGACTCAATCAAAGATTTATTAAATCCACAACACTCCTCCATATCTATACACGAGTCAGGCGAGGATCTGAATGAAGATGATAATGAGGATGATGGAACAATGAGAAGACAAAATCAAAATCAAAAACAAGATGAACATATCGAGCAAAATCACGTTAATTCGAAGAATAAACCAGAAAAACGAAAATCATCAGTGTCGTCTGATGCTGATGTTGCTCCGCCACAAAAAGTCAAAACAAGTGTTAGACAAGATTCTGTAAGTAATGCATCTTCTGATGATGAGAACGAACCAATATCTCAGCCGATAAAGAATTCCACCAAAACGGAGTATCGAAATTTGGTTCATAATGAAACAAGTGATAATGAAACGAAACCAGCGACTGTCAGAGGTGAAAAGAAGAAAAACAAACCTATCGAACAAGACAATAAACATAAATCGAAGAGACTCCCGGCTAATTCAAAAATGAATAATTATGCTCGTCCAAGATCAGACGAAGGATCAACCGATGAAGAAAAAAACATAGATGATGATGATGATGATGCTGTAGAGGAAGATGAAAATTCTTCGGCTAATGAAGAAAATACTAATAATAATAGATCAAAAAATCATGTAGCGAATCATAAAAATAAGATTAGAAGCAAGAAAGAAACACAGAAGAATGAACCTTTTAACGATGGAATTACTTTTGCACCAAAACATGCTTCTAAAACAATAAATACGAATAAATCAAAAACGATATCACATCATACACAACAGAATAACATAAACAAAAAAAATACAACTAAGGTAAACTTGTCGAAATATCACGATAAATTATTAGCAATATCCGATGAAGTTTGATTTTAACCCTTAAATAGTTTAATATATTCATTAACACTTGCACTCCGGTCAATTTTTCTCAGGTATCCTTTCATGCTTATTTTTTAAAGTGCAAAAGTGTATTTACATTTCATATGGATGTTCGTGAAAAGACAAAATTGTGGCCAAACGATCTGACGCTATATGTAAGACGTTTCTAGTTTTAAGAATATATCAGCTTAACTTAAACTAGAAATGCTTATGACAAACAAGTAAGAATATAGAGACTCATTTTTCTTCAGGTCTATCAATTTTTTTCTGATATCTCTGATTGTGATGAACAATAATTTCTCTTCATTTTTTTCTTTTTAAAAAGATTCAGCTATCATTCAGTATGCAACCATTAAAAATATGAAGTCTAGTGATTTAAATTACTTGCGTATCTGAGCTTTTTTTTATACATAACGTGTTGTAAAATTAATTTGTTTTGCTATTTTTATTTGTCTTTTCTGTGACAATCCCTCTTACAAACATGAAGATCTTATGATTACCGTATAAATTTTGAGCAATTCGAAAACTAATTGCATTCACTCTTTTTTTGAAATCGTTTTGATTAGAATACAATTTTTTTCTGTTATAACTATGTTTATTTCTATCTCAAACCTGTACAGTTTTTTTCAAGTTTAATCGTGATTTGTTTTTTCTAGCAAAAATGTTATTTTTTTTACTGCTTGTTAAAATTCACTGTTGTTAAAATTTTTTATTTATTTTATACAATTTCTTAGTTTTATAAAGATAAAGTCTATTGTTACGCTTGCATAACAATGAACAAAAATTGAAAATTTATTTAATGACTAAACATACTTTGCATAATCAACGGTGTAGAAAATTTTCCTTTGCATTCATACTACGGCTGTTATTGTTTATCGAGTCTATTATTTTAATTTTAAATAAGATGGATGTGCAAAACACAATATAGAAGGAAAAGAAAGAAAGGTGAAGAAAAAACACAAATAAACTGCACACTCACATCTTATACACTCAAAAGGAAAACACCAGAAGCAAATGAAATATTCAAATTGTAACGAAAAACAGAAAAATCAAAATCTATGTTTCATGAACTTATCTTATCTTTCTTTAGTCGTCGGAAAAAAAATGTAGCACACAACAAACTCAGCAAGCACCCCACAACAATATCTTGGAATGTGTGTAAATCTCACAGGTTTCAACAAAAAAAACAACTAGCCTGAGAGAAAGTAAACAAAACAAAACTGTTCCAAACGACAAGTGCCCGTTACGCATGTCGAGAGAGAGAGAGACGAGAGATCATTTGTTTTTTTCTGAAAGACACTAAATAATTGGACGGATTATTGCTAAACATCACTTTCTTTCTTTCGAAACGAGGATAAAGTACAGATGAGTCTACTGTTCAATTTTTTCTTTCATAAGAAGAAAAGATTCCAGTGTATATCGTCAACTAAAACGCGTCGTTTAAAGGATTTTAAACTGTTTTTAACTTGCTCGAGAACCACAACAAAAAAAAGAAAAGATGCACAAAACCCAATACACGCGGTCAACTTCAACCATATAAAAAGTTAATTTTCTCTCGAACAAAATAGAAGTAGTCTGTTCAAATTCTATATATATATATATATATATATTGATAGATAGATAGATACGTATTGAACAGGTACTGAAACGCACAAGCACTTTCATATTCAGTTAGTTAACTCACACAAAAACGAACAAAAAAGTCAACAAAAAGAAAAAGTAGTAAATATAAATTGAAAAAGGCAAAGACACATTGTTTTTAGGGAATACATCACCCGGAATCGTCAATGTACAGAACTTTTTAAAACGTATAATGTTGATTATTGCTCACATTAGTTTTCTCTGTTAAGCGATAGAGGCTGAAAAAAAATGTGTTCAACATTTATTATCATTTGAGTGCACCAAATACAGCTATAATTCTTCAATATTGTTTATTCTATTTTTGTGCTAAATAAATTTTTCGAAAGATGAATGTTTGATTGTTTAAATTTGATACAGCATTTTGTGCATCATGCGGTTCAGCACAAGCTACCACTGCAAAACCTGTTGGTTTTCCACTACTATCGCATCGAATTTTTAATGTTTCTTCAATTGGATTAAATGGTTTTAATAAATCTAATATTTCTTCTCGTGTTGCACGATAAGCAACATTTGATAAATATAATATACGTCCACGATAAACTTCCATATGTTCAGGTAATGGTGGTAAATTCGATAAATTATTAGGATCAGACGATGTATTATTATGACGAATTGACGTTGCTCGTTGTTGATAATCTGTTGTTGAATTTAAATCATCCAAATTTTGAATGGGAGATGAGGTATGACGTTGATCATCTTGAGAATGGTAGCCATTATTAAAACGAAGCCGCTTCTGTTTATCATCATACGTTCTTTTACGTTCTTCATAATATGATCGTTTTTGTTGTTGTTGTTGTTGCAAATCGTTTGAGGAACGTGGTGTTGCATCTCTACCCTCATTCATTGGCAATGGTGAAGGATTTTGATTGAACTCTGTTAATGCTAACGGTCGAATATCAAGACAACGTCCATAGAATATCTGTCGTTGTTTTTTTTCGTATGCTTGTTGACATGATTGCGTATCATGAAAACGTACAAATGCTTCACCAGCCTGTCGTCCAAATTTATCATTTAGAAGTTTACAGCTTTCAATATTAACATTGATACTTTGGAAATAATCACGTATTTGATTTTCGGTTGTTGTGTAAGGAATATTTCTTAAACGCAAACATGTGATGGGTGATGGATACTGTTGTTGATGAAATAAAAACGTTTGATAACTGTTCTGTTGATGATGTGGAGAAGAATGATCAATTTGTTGTTGTTGGGAATTGTTCGAATTATTTGAATAATGATTATCAGGACGAGTATAGCGTGTTTCATTTGAACGATGAGCAGGTGGGTTTAAAACTAAAGGAGATGAACGATTCGGTTCTCCATCATGAGTTAGTAATGGTGGTCGTCGACGGTCTCGTCGCTTTGAATTACTTATTTCGTTGTCCATTTCTGATTTTGTCATACGACAAACTTCTATTTTTGAATTTTCTAAAACAGATAAAAGATGATCTTCATGTGTCTATGTCTAAGCTGCAATCAGAAAAAGATGATTGCACACTCTTCTAACCAACAACTAAGAAAAATTCTAAAAAAGTTAACTCTGGTGAACATGCTGCTCTTTAACTTTGAAGTCTTCCTAATAGCCGCTTTGTTCTAGTACTTTCAGTGAAAGCAAATAGGATTTCATTGCTTCTGTTTATCCCCGTTTAATTGAGATAGGTCTTACCAACAATTTCACCGTTATAAAACATTGCTTTTTCAACATCAATTTCATGTTCAAATTCAATGTATGTTGGACCACGATTCATTTCATTATTATCTAATTCAAAAAATATACCACCGTTTCGATCTCGTGTCAAATTACAACCATTAAAATATCGTTTTATATCTCTTTTATCCCATTTTGGTGGTAACTGTAAAACCTTAACACAATTCGTGGGTATTAACGCTTTTTTTTTTGATAGTGCTGTAGGTATAAACGAATCAATTGAACTAGCAAATGTATATTCATCAATCTTTCTAATATCTAAATAATTGTTCATACACTGTATTCGACCGTTTAAATTCAATAGTTCACTAACGTCATTGTTCGAATGTAAACGTAACACAATTTCACCTGTTCGTTGACCGTTGTGATCGTTGATAATTTTAATATCACTTAAGTTTAATTTATATTTATTAAAAAACATTTTTATATCAGAATAGGTAAATGTTACGGGAATATTTTTTATTTTAATGTACGGTTCATCGGCTAATGATTGTTGTTGTTTTGTTGTTGACGATGATGGACCGTAAAGAGACGATGATGAACTAGAACCCGTTGTTGTAGATGTTGTCGATTCTGAACTATGACTATTTATCACTCCTTGCCGATTAGAATTATCATCTTGAATCAAGGGGAGAGATCGTTGATGAGACATCAGTTGCTGTTGTGTTTGAAGAGGATGTTGATAGAGTGATGGAACGTTTTGATGATGATTAAAAGTATTTGTTATAACGGGTGATTGAGCAATCCATCCTCCGTTCGATTGCTGTGGTTGAGGCATCGATTGTCCAAATCGTTGAACAGGTGGCACCTGATTATTAAATGGTGGATGAAACGGCATTTGAAATGTTGGTTGCTGTTGTTGAAATCCTGGTATGTTTTTTTCTGTGAGAAGTTGTAATAATGCTTGGATATTTGGAACTTGCCCGGTTTGATTACCACTACCGACGCCGCTTTGTACTGGATTCTGGTTAAATGACGGTGATACTGTGCCTTGTTGTGGGTGTGCAAATGTATTGGGTGATTTTATTGTGCTTGTATCTAAGAGAGGTGGAGTTTGTTGTGATTGTAATGCATTGAGAATAGCTGCAAGTTCATTGGCTAAATTATTCGAAGATGGCGGTTGAGCTGTATTTTTGGTCATTTCACTTGTAGCAGTTGTCGTTGTGGTAGTTATGGGTGTCGAATTTGCATTTGAAAAATTTGGATAATACCTGAACAAAAGTTTTTATTTTATTTAGTACATAGAAAGATAAGCGAAAAATAAAGATCATGCGAAGACTACTCACATACTGTAGCCCAAATAAATGATCGCATAATGAACAAACAACTTACGACGAATGAAAGTTGGATGTTGCACTTGTTGTTGTTACTGTTGTACTTTCTGACGGTTTTTTGGTCAATCCTGTAGGCTGTGTTCTTGCTTTTGCTACTATTTCTGACATTTCTGAACGACTACTTAAAAAAAGTTTGATTGGATTATTCAATATAGAACCCTCTTTCATCATTGCTTGCCGAGCATCATCATCCGTATTGAATGCAATAAATGCGTCACCCTTTTCTCCGCCAACCTAGAGCAAGAAAATGAAAAAAATGAATTTAACAGATCTTCTAGATTTAGAAACATCATACCACATGAACACCACCATCAGGAATTGATAAACCGGCAAAAAATTTTCGAATATCTTGAGCTTTAGCTTCATTTGGTAAATTCTGTAGACGAATAATAAATGAAGAATTTGTCGACATAGTTTTTGATGTTAAATGGAAAAAGAACCAACTATTAACACTGTACTGCCGCTAGTACTCTGATGTTAGTAATAGATCATGATGCAAAATGTAATTTTTTTCTGAAAACAAAAAAAAAATTAAAATAGAATTATATGAATATGGGAAATTATATACGATAATGGATAGAACAATAAAGATAATTAATAAATCTGTACATAACATTTTACTCGTTAGAAGCTTGAAAATCAAAGTTAACTAGTTCAAAGTCTTTCTGCAATTTTCAGTTCTATTTTGTATTTCGTTTTGCACTGTTAAAAGATGGTACTTGTCAAATGTGGTTAATAAGATGTCATTATTGATTACAAAATCTATGACAGTAACAAACAATATTATAAAACTAGGATAAGTTCGATTTTTATCAACTGAGAAAAAAATTATTTTTTGATTTAAATGATTGTTTTAATAATTCTTTTGTGGATTTTTTATTATTGAACAGACAGCGCCAACCTTTAACAGAATAAAGCACTCACATGCTAGTGCATCGCAGAATAAAGATTTTCTGAGCAAACAATATCATACCCCAAAATAGATTACAGTATCATTTTCAGTAGATTTCTTTTGGCGAAAATAATATCCGTCTGTTGACTAATTAAAACTGAATTTTTCCACAATCCACAATTAATAAAAGATACTGCTTGCGTTTTACACACAGTATATCGTTTTTTCTGTAAACTTTAATAAAATATAGTGTGAATAAGCAAAAGCTTTAGTCATATAATACGTTTAGCACAAAAAATTCTGGCATACTATATCTCTGCACAAGAAAATTCGGAAAACAATTAATATTTCTTTTTTTCTTATCAACAATTCCATTCTTATATTCATTACTTTTTTTGCTACTGAATGCGTTAATAATGGGGGAAACACACTAATCGTAATCAACATTATCTCAGTAGTAGAGCTATAAACGAATTCAAATGTGCTATTTAAATTTCTTTAATTAGATTCAAGTGTGTAATGTACAAAACTATAAAGATCGCCTCCGTTCACAACGAAAGAATGTCAATCACTAATCTGCCAATTCGAATTTCAAAAATAACAATTAAGTAAATTTTCATCAGAATAACCGAAATATTATTAAGTAATCAAACATATATAAAAATTGTTAATTAATTCTAAAATACAGTCTATCACACAGAAGACTGATAATATTCAAAAAGATTATTTAAACTTTTAAAGAAAAACATCGATTCTTAAAAGTGTAATATTTATTGAAATATAGTCTTGATCAGTGATTTTCACAGGACCACAATTCAAAATGGATATAAACAACATCAAAGATAAAAGTTTTTAATCGGAGAAGAGTCATTTTAATTTGCTAAAATTAGTTATCATATATCGTAGCATATGCATCTAAATGAAAGGACATTAAAAAAAATGAATTTATCGAAAATTCTAGTATGCCTACTAAATTCCGAAAAGCATTGAAAATATGAAAAAAAGTTGTTTTGATCAAAGAAACGAAAATATTGGCGAAAAAAGTAGCCGTAAGAAAACTTATGATGATTGCTATTCAAGTAATTGTAATCATTTTAACGAGTGTATACTATATACATGTATTAATAAAAGGATCAAATAAAATAATCAATCTTATCATTCAATAAATCTCATCAGCTCTATATCCTCACTCGCATAAAGCAATGAGTACTATGACATCTAGTCTTCATGGCTAATGCGCACTTAAATTATTGAATTTTAATATTACCTATAGTAGAAAGAATAAAAGCTATAAAATCGATTTTTTTTATATGATTTGTTAATGCTAGGCATAATGTTGCCTATTTGTTGTTAACTATCATTGAAATAAATAATTTGTTCTATACATTGTATATAAAAGATTTGTAATCAATTGAAATATTTGATTATGATTATTTTCATCAAATACCTATTCGACATTGAAATCTAAACATAACGATTCAAAACTGATATCCTCATTCCCACTCTCATATGACTTTTCCCGCACACTACAGACGGCGAAAACTTTCAAAACACAATGTTTATATAAACGTGTACAATGAGCAATTAATATTTTGGTACGGTGCTGATGATTGGAGAAGAAGAATTATCACAGCCAATATGACACATCGCACCAGTTGTACACAATAAGACAAATGAAAAACAAATTTATCAACGAATTCTTTCACATACAGACGATCTTCTTCAGCACGATTTCATAACCACTAGTCGATTGTCGGATGATATTACGCATTATTTGTACAAAAACAGAACATACAAATGAGATCTAAAACAAAACTGATCAAATAAATCATAGCTCCGATTCTTTGCACATAGAACTTGTCTGTAGACTTTTTTTTCTTTTAAGTTTTACTTTTTCAACCTTGCCTGGTTTTCTTCTCTCTCTGGCTTCTTTATAGGCTACCTCTTGAATGCTCAAAGAGTAATTATGAATCTTACTGTTACACGAAAAATAGGACACTTAAGGAGATGAAATATCCAGTGAAAAGATATGAAGAAGACAGACATTTGCCAGTTTTATATTTCATATTGATAACTAGAATCAAAATAAATATAAAATGATGATATGCGTTGCTACCTTGTATTTACCAAGAAAAATTCCAACTTTTAATAGAAACGAAGTATTCTGATCAGCAGTAAATTTCTACTACAGCGACAATAATATTTCTGCTTTAAAAAGTATTTTTTTAGAATTATGTATGAGAGAACGTCTAAATGGTAAACAAGATTCTTTTTCCTCTTGAAAATGTATGACCAGCTTAATAGAAAACCTTATTTCAGCGGTGACGCGTAGTGTCGAAAAAAAAGTAAGAATATAAAAAAAATGGTAGTGGCATTCATTAGGTATTACGTCGTGCCACACCACTTGATTTAGACTTCTGAATAACTGCACCTCTGGGAAAAATGATGATATTCCAAATAATAATCTTTTGTAAGAGACATAATGTACATTTCTGCATAAATACTTAGCATAATTTATAGCGACCTCTGGATTGCGGCGTACTCTAACTCACCCTTTTCGCAATACGCTTTGTTGTGCTCTATTCTCTCTCTCTATCTAGTCTACGTTTATTATATTATTTCATATTAAATCACTATTTCTAAAAGCTTGATTGAAGGTCAATTCTAAAATAGTTGACGTAACTGTTCGGATAATTAAATATAAAATACAGCGAAACGAATACCATACTATAAATGACATTAGTTTATTTTAAAATCTCATCATAAAAGGTTTTTGACATGTAAAACGATAACCCCTGAAAAGGTTATCACCCCACCGTAACATTACGACAGGTATATATAAAAAGGAAAGCATAATTAGTAAGAACTAAAGGGAAGAACAAAGGCAAAACAACATGAAAAACAAAAAGAAAATAAACAACAAAAGGCATGTATGTTATTTTCTTGTCTTTAATATATAAATAATAAACTAAACAATTGACAACTAACTATAGAAATAATATATTTAGATAATATTCTCTTAAAGATCAAAGAGACAAAGAATAGATCACATGTCAACGTGAAGAAGAAAATAAAGTACATTTAGAGTTGCGAAAAAGTGCTTTTTCGTATTCGGCACACTCGATAACTCAGTAGATTTTTTATTTTTGGCGAGGGGTGCTGCCAAAAGTTTAAGAAAAATTTTCAAACAATATGAGAAAAACAAATTTCTATGGTAGAATAACATTAGTTTCAAAATTTTCCTAAACTTTTGGCAGTACCCCTCGCCAAAAATAAAAAATCTACTGAGTTATCGAGTGTGCCGAATACGAAAAAGCACTTTTCTGTGACTCTAGATGAACTTTACTTTTCTGTTGATGAGATGCTAGTTGTAGAGGGTTTTCATAATGATTTACTGTAGAAAACAGATACGACAATCTCATAAGAAAACGTTTAGCAAAAGGTCAAATATGAACGTATTTCGAATGTTGATGGTGAGGAGAAGAATAAGATAGTTGTATTGCATAGAAAAGATGAAGAGGACTTGAACTTGTATGATGATAAATTTTATAAAATGAAGGTGGATATATTTCTGACGTTTAGATGTTTCAAAGAAAAAGTTGAAGGGCAAGGTCAGAGCCACTTACATAATCATTACAATTTCGACGGGTAACACAAAAACCCACATATCTTTGTCGTTAAAAATGAATGTGAGCTTGTAGAACAAGAACAGGAAGAACTAACACCATTATACATACTATCAAATATTCGTGGAACCAACACACCTACAGCTCAACATAGAACATAAACTAGCATCGAATAAAGAAGAACATCGATTGCACGCATCTGCCCTAGCACCATCATCTCGTATATCACCACTTTTGAGATGAATACACAAACAGAAAACTCATATAATAATAAATTTGATTATAGTATCATAGCAACCGCCAGGAAAAAAAACGACAAAGAACTCTTGTGCCGTTAATAATAGCATTTTGCTCTAATGAATCGTTATTTTACGATTGTAACATTGATCATGGAAGAGATGTTTTGATATTGAGCAACGATAACTATTATACGAATGCTTAGTCTTTTTTAGAATGAGAGTAAACTATTTTAAAAGAAGATTCAAACAAAAAAAAGCATAATGCGATACATAGCGTGAATAAATTTGGTTTTACTCATAGACCGAACATCACTTAAAATATGCTTCTGTTCAACAAAAATCAGTATAATAAAGTATTTATTTTTCTTCAAATCCATACATGGTGTAATCATATGCGAAACTACTTTACACGGATTTGCAGAAATAACGCTAATAGTAAAAACACAATACAGCTTTTATGTGTTGCCTATATGATCATGCAATACATTGACAGTCTACCACAACTATATAAAGTACGAACATTGGTCTTCTAATAGTAGTTATTCTCGGCTCTTTGCTGCTAGTAATGAATGATTTATTTATTTCTCAAAGAATCATCATTGAGAAATTTAGAAAAAAAGTTAATAATATAAAAACATCGGGATTTTGCGCAAAATAGATTCATTATAAAAAACAAATCTTGAATAATTTAGATAATAAAAAACCCATCAATAGCAAAAAAGAAAATGTCATATATGCAAGAATTTTCATACAATAATAATAATAACAAAAAGAGATTAAAAGTACAGAATGTGATAAAAAATAGACAAAATGCATTTTTTACTATGTATGAAAATAAATGAGAACGCTTATCGCTTGGATTTGACTTTAATAGGCTCTATTTGACAATATTTATCAATGTAACTTGCGACTTTTTGCTTGAATACTTCTGGATTTTGTTTGTATTGATTAGCTGCTTCCATATTGAGAGCATCATCAAAATCAACCAAATCCTAAACAGAAAATAAGACGTAAGAGACTTCCAAGAAAACATTTGCGCAGTACAATCGGTCGCGATATGTTCTACTGGTACTGGCGAAAAGGGGCTTTACTATGATTGAAAACACTATCCGTGTCCATCTAAGAATAAGCTACGGAATCAGTCACTGTCCTTTTGACTAATCAACAAATATTGAGAAGTCTTTGCTGAAAACAGCAAGTCAGCATATTATTGCTCAATCGAGTTAGGAATTAGAAAGGCAATACATCCAGTTAAGGGACATAAGAGTAAAAGCTGTATCTCCTGAATGATACAACCACACGTCGAGAGATAAAGTCTTAAGATCGGCACGTGGCTATATAGGGAGCTATAGAACTTTAATTTTAAGTATCTTTTTAGGAAGGAACACATACTTTTGGCAAGTACTGCAAATAAAATTAGTTTTCTGGAAGCGCCTTTCGTACAGAGGATGACTTACAGTAAATAATTGATCCAATCCAAATATAACATCTTTCAACGTTCTTGTTGGTAACCAACCTGAAAAATAGGGAGCGAAATATAAATTAATTTCGTTAAACAAATCACTTCATACTTACCCACTTTACCATCAACAGATGCTTCCCGTAATATACTAAGACATATCTGACCGTCTTCATTAATATTTGGATGCCAAATTTTTGTTCGACACGTTACTTTTGGCGGCTGTAAAAACCACATTTTCAGATCTATACGATTATAAGAAAGAACGAAAAACTTACCATCATATTATATGTTATTGGTACTTCGACAGTGAATACAAATCGGCCTCTATGCCACATACTCTCACTACCAGGTGTAATGATTAGATCAAACTTTTCTAATTTATCGATGTTCTCAAAAATTGTTTTACATGTCACAGGTAAACAGTGCCCCCAGTCGTTATGTTCTGAAAAAAGAATGGATAATCAAAACATTTTTTCATTTTTCCACGATAGTCACTAACCTTTTGCCAGAAGTGTATCACGAATAATTGAAAGTCCACTTCTGGGATTAACTCCGTTCGTCGTCTTTCTAGGCGGAGCTTTTGGGAAAAGATCGGGTAATCCTATCATCTGAAAATTAGAAAACAACAGAGCTTTTTAAATGAGAAAAAAAACAAAGAGCTAGTAAAATTATAAGCCAAAAGTAACAGAACAAAGGGACATCTGTTCAACATAGATACGGGAGGAAATCAAACACAATAACCAAGGCTCATATATCATCTTTTTCAGATAATAAAAATAGATTACAAAAATTTTCATCGATTAAGAAAAGCATCATATCAAAATATAATCTAAAAGCGATATAACTATCCATATATTGTGATAAACTATAATTTGAGCAAACAACGGTATAGTGGCGAGAGAACGGAAATCACTGGCTTAATAGATATCTATAAAACAAAAAAAGTATAAAATCATTGCACAAGGATAAGCACTGAAGAGAGAGCATAAATAACTAAATACATGTTCTTCATTTGGAATGTAACGCAATAATTTGCCGTCTTGTTTCATCCATAATTTTACTAATTAATAATGAATGCTCATACTTCATATAGGAATGTTCAGTTTTACCACATAAAATTGCTTCCCGCACTGCAATTGCTTCATAGCGTAATCCTACACTATTCATAAAATTGGTTGCTTTTTCCAATGCAGGCAATGGTTTAACTATAGTATTTGCACCAGACATATTTAACTCAGTTGGACACCAAATGCATTTTGGTATACTAATAACACCTAAGGAGAAAAAAATCAACAGAGATTGATGTAAAGTATTTACAATCTGTCGTACAATGCTTTTACCTTTTGTACCATAGACTTTCAAAGAGCCAACAGCTTCAATATCTTCACCCACGTTTGTCAAAACTGCCATACGGTTTTTCTTGTACAATAAAGTAATTGTTGACATTGAATCACTAATTTCATCATCTATGTTTTTTTTTGTATGACCACTAGCAATTATTTTCTCTGGTTCTTCGTGATTAAATGCAAGTAATGCTACTTGTATGGGATAAATACCAGATGCCATAATCAAACTGTAACAGTTTTTGGCAAGATCAGGCACGCATATTGTACAATCAACTAATGTAACCTACAGATAATAGCAAGAGAAGAACAGTAAGGCAGACTTATTCAGCAGAAGAGATGACGCATGTTATGCTAGGTAGGGCAGATAATGAAAATTTTCTAGCGTTCAACTTAATACTTATACTTGCATATGACAGTCGATGAGCTGTCGCTAAGTGAAACAGTTTTACATCCAAAACTTGCTGAGTTTTTTTTACAAAAGATAGTTATTTGTCCGAAGACGGTTTCTTTTTCTCCGAAAATTTAGCCTCCATCAGTCTTTAATCGGTTGTCCGGTCTACTTACAGTTCCAATTTCTTTTAATGCTTCGCGTAAATCATCGTAAATCGGAACAAATCTTGACCATATTGCTTCCATGAAAAATACCTTACTCTTTTTAGCGGTACTTAATATTTCTTCGACTTCTGCACTATTCATTCCTAATGGTTTTTCGCATAATACATGTTTATTGGCTTGAAATGCTGTTAAACATAGATCACGATGAAGTTGTTCAATTGTGCCAATATATACAATATCAACATTCGCATCTGACATACACGCCGTATAGGAACCATATGATTGTGGAATCTTGAACTCTGTTGCAAACTTATCAGCTTGTTCTTGTTTGCGAGAACCAACAGCAACAACAGAATGTTCATTCGGATCACATGTTGATAGGGCAGTACAAAAATCTTGACATATTCGACCAGTACCGATAATTCCCCATCGAAGCTGCATTGTTACTTAGATCTAGGAACATGTGGTTTTTAAATAATAATAAATAAAATCACTTACAAAAGAAAAAAAATCATCGACTCGTTAGACGCTATCTCTTTTCCAGCCGGTATTCGCCAGTCTGCTGCGGTAGAGTTGAATTCTAAAGCATTGAACAAAAGTCTCATCGTTTCGGCCTACGATAGGCATATGTGATAATTCAAACTTTAATCCTTTTATTTATTTGTTTATTTGTATTTGATGGAATAAATTACTCTATAGGATTAGTGTCACAAAAACGTCTGTGATTGGCTAAAAAATCACTGAATCAAAGACGCGTTGATCGAAGCCGTTATGTTAATGGCAATGACCGTAGGATGTTTACCGCTACTAGTGAGTGATGAAAAAACGTAGAAAGTGGCTCCTGACAGTTTGTGAAAGACCAAAAAAAATAATTTGGAAGAATATTTGTTACTTAGAACAGTTTCTGAAGTGTCAGATATTTCTACAAACAGTTTAAAAAAATAGTAGAAAGGATCAAGTTTTTGAATAGCTTCAGTTTGTTTTATTCATTTTGAACCCAGTCACCCAAATACAACGTGTGTGCAAAATTCTGTGCGAAATCTGTATGCAGAATGTAGACAAAATTTGTACCATATATCTAGCAGAATCTGGAAACATCTACTTATTCAAACTCTATGACAACTTTCACACTAGACTTATGGCGTGATCCCGTTGTCGTGTCCGTGATCACTATGAAACTCGTGCTGTCACATCGCGATGATTCTAGAATCGTATTTTTTCAAAAATTATTAGACATGACTCATGATAAGAGTTTTTCCGGATCGAGATATCCACCCAGGTCGTCGAAAACGGATCGTTAACGGTCTGTTTTTGGATCGTTAATTAAGGTTGTCAAAACGGTCGGTTTATAATGACGTTAAAGGACCGTTTTTAGAACATTTTTCCACCGTTAACGTGCTGTTTTCTGATTGATTATTAACTGGCCGTTAACCATTCGCTGACGGAGCGTCCTACTTGAGCTGGGCAGATTGATGACCGAAGCACGGTGACGAACATGAACCTTGATCCAGATTTCCTAGATCGTTCATTGGCCATGTCGGCAGTTAACCTGGATCGAGAGACTCTAGATAAATTATGAAACCAGATCGAAATGATGCAACAACACAACAGCCTAGAAACGATCCATTAACGTCGCTGTAAACCGAAATTTCTCCAATAATACAAATATTTTCGGGACTTCCCTGACTCGTGCCGCAAAATAACTCTTGCGCTCTAGAATCGCTATAAGAATAGCGATTGGGCTGAGATCATGGCGCGATTCTAAGAGTTCGTTCAGGATTCCACGGGATCGAGCCACGATGCCACTAGTTTTGACAAGACTAGACACGACATCGCGGTCTTGGCGTAGTTTTGGCATGAGTTCAGCGTAAAAGTTGACATGGGATAACGTGCACATTCACACCGTTGGCTTTTATTGAGTTCTTTGCAGGGCTCTAACATGAAAGTCTTGGATTTTTTACACTTCTGAGTAGCAGAGAGTCTTGCAAGTCTGACAGCGAAAAAACTATTTAATTTGATCGAAAAATGAGTGAATTATAAGCAAAATTGCAAATCTTCGAATCAATACAAATTTTCTGTATTCTGTTAAATCTTACGTTTTGAGATAGTAATACTCGTAGGAAAAATTCATGCGCCTGTAATTTCTTAATGGCGTTGTATGACAAAACACAGTACAAATTTAGGGAAATGGCAGCCTTGTTTCCTTCAGAGTCTGAAGGAAACAAGTCTGCCATTTCCTAAATTTGTCCTCCTTTATTTTTTTCTTTAAGTAAGCAACCCTGGTGACAGACCATATTAAAATTCAGAGAGATTTTAAACTAGCCTATGCTAGGTTAACTTTAAATTTTAATATAGCCTAATAGACTCTGTATTAAAATTCAGAGGGTATGAATATTGATCACCAAATTGTGATCAGATTTTGATCTTTAAGATTATTTATTTCTCAACGCAATATACAAAAATATCTACAATATGAAGAAAAACAGCATGTTTACAAATGAAAAGATATGCTAACTTTCTCTGAACGTCTTTTACCTAATGGTTGAATAGGTTCTACACGATTGATGCACTATGGATCTATTTCAATACAAAAGTTAACGTCGAATCAGCCTCTATCTACCGCATCAATGTAGCTGAAGAACAAAACTACAATTAGAACAATTGTGAAAAAGATTTTATACTTTGGCTAAGATTGTGGGCTATTATATCATACTGGTTCATTCAGCTGTTTTGATTTTCTCGTTCTCTATAAACTTTAAATTCATTACAACTGAATGTTTCATATAACTTTTCCGCAAATCGTACACTCATTTCAGCATTCATTTCTTGAAAGCGTTTATTCCCTTGGCTTTAGGCTACCCTAGTGGAACTTCTTGTAACCAAGATCTTGACTTCTTTGTTCTTTGTGTTTTTTTCAAAATTTTGGGTACAAGAAATTTCACTAAGTAGGGTGTTGCAAATGAGTTTTCTGTCTATCTGTCCGCAAAACACGGAAAAATGATCATAGGTATTTTATGAATCGTTCGCTAAAAATGCAAAAATTGTTACAGTACACTCAGCGTACTACACTGTAAATTTGAAAAAAGAAAAGTCCGTGGTTTTTTCATCTACATTTCTCTGAATCGCATACAAAAGTTCGTTCCATCATTGACTAAGGACGTTTTTAACTTGTTGTTTTGCATTAGATCAGCTCGCAATTAACAATGATCGAATTAGAAGGGAATAAAGAAATAAAAACTGAATATCAGAAATAAGTTCGGTAAAAGAAACTTTACCGAAGAAAAAGTTGGTAAACATATTTACCGGACCATCGGTGAAAACTTTTTCATCGCTACCATGGTAATCTCGTATTTCGATAAATTCATCTTACCGTTATCGACGGTAAATTACCGATTGCCGCATCTCTATCCTTGAGTAATATTCCATGCAAAAATGACTCAATTTTTTAGGGTATTTATCTAAATTCAGCTCCGCGTACGTCTAGATGCACGTGCATCTGAATCTAGATAAATGACCCAAAAAATTTGGGCGGTTTTGCATGGGAAGGTCCGTGAAGTACGTAATCACGGGCTTTTCAATGCGGCAGCTGTCTGTCTGCTCCGTGAAATTTGAAGTAAAGTGCCACGTTGAAAAGCCCGTGATTACATACTTCACAGACATTACTCAATGACGGAACGAATTCTTATATGTGATTCAGAGAAAAGTAGATGAAAATGAACAGCATGTTGAGATAAAAATGAGCTAAGCATACTTTCTTTAGTATGCTTAGTTGGTGAATGGTGCGATTAACATCTTTTGAGGAACTGGCAAGAAAATATAACTTAGAACAATGAAAGTGCCATAGTATGAGTAATCGAGCATAGTGAATTTAGCAGAGTGGATACTAGGCACACTGAAGGATTTCTGAGAAACGTTTACGGTCTCAAGCAATTTCTGGACTGCTCTCCGTGAGAAGTGATCACTGAACATGATATCTAATGCCTGAGATATCACTGCACAAGCAACGTCTACGGTACCTGAGGAATGGTTAATCACATATCTAGTAAATTATTTTTCTCTTCATAAATCTTGTCTTCGATTATGCTGAACCGCTGGTTACGTGCTATACAAGAGTGATAGTAATATTTATCCAATTACTTTTTTCTTATGTGGCAATAATTTGGATGAAATGGAATGCTACAACCGTCACATCGAGAAAAACAACAATATTCGTGCTCAAATGCTTTCCCGGCAACAACAGATTTGAACAAAGAGTTCTATCGAAGTATGACCAAAAATCATTGGCGCAAACTTTAGTTAACCTTTAAGAACATTTGAAGATTTTGTTTGTTATGCATCCAAAGTAATGGAGAAATCTTTAATTCAATATTCCTATTGGTATGGATTTGCGAGAAAAGAGCAAGAGTTAATGTACAAACATGGTAAAAACTATGAACAGTTTGGACGTTATCTTCGTACGAAATATAATACTCGAACACATGTTGCCGAACAGCTTCTTGATCGATTGATATTAGAAAAAAAATCTGTTATTTCAATAAACTCAAATAATCGTCATTTTAGTACAAATGCTGCTATTGCTGCGGTAGAACTCCCATCATTCGACTATTTAACATTAGAGCAACCGGCTACAATATTAAAAGAGACAACACCATTAGTTAATGATCAATTAGAAACACAGTTTAAACCTTATTTTAATGAATGTATAAAGTCAGCTGAACGTATCAAAATTAACCGACGATCGGATCGTGATAGACAAATATGCTATGAAAATTTGATATTAGTACAAAAACTAATACGTATCAAAAATAGAGTAAATAAGTCAAATGCAAACCTGAAAACAGATTATATCAATCATTGTCAATTACTTGTACAAAAAGCAAATTGTAAATCAGGCGCAATGAAATTGGTAAAAGACCGTTTTCCAGTCAAGAAATTATCCAGTTGTACAATAGTTAATGATAAATCACAGCATAGAAAAGAAGCAAAGTTGACAACATTAGGGGACAGAACACATCGTACAATAGGTGAAGAGTTTTGCATGTTTACGATGACAAAAATACAAACATATATGCTATTCTTGTAGATGCAGAGATAACGAACCGTTTCCATCAAACTGAAAATTCTGATGTCTCTGCATCAACTACATTATGTTCATCCACCCAATCTTCTTCTTTCATCGCCACAGCCAATTCTACGGCAACAGCAACAACGTCATATTCCACAATTGATGATCAAGCAACGGAGCATGAAGCTGACACATTAAACGATGTCGAATTGCCATTAAAAAAGCATAAAATTCCCAAACGAAAAATAGCACTTCATCATCGTACATCGTACTCCACTAATAGTCTTCAATCAAAATATTTACGAGCAAATTCTTGTTCTAACGTTGAATTACCATCATTAATGACGACAAAAGAAGAACCTCACGTAATTAAATCACATCATGATTTGTTGTATAAAAAATTACTGAAATGGATAAATTGATTGAAAAAGATAATATTACAGCATTTGATCAAGATATTGAACGAAGTTAGACACTTAGAGAAGACAGAGAATTAGCCAATAAAGGACGTCATTTTTCTCTGTATATTTTATTTTTATTATTCAGAACAAAGATATATTATATCTGCCTGCTCTTCTGTACACTCATGACGTTTAATGATGATTTTGTAAGATTTAAGAGATTCTTTATCATTTTCATCTGATTCTAAGGTATGCTTGCAAAATAATTTTAGACTCTACGTATAACCATTTCTCGAAATTCGAGAAAATAAGGAGCAAAAACTCTCGTTACGAGTTAGAAATGTCAAGATAATTTTAAATCAAATTAAACACTTATCGTCAGCAAACGTAGCAAGTGAATTTCCTACTTTTTTCCTTTTGTATTTTGTAGTGTGTTTTAAAGTTAAAAACCATGAAAACCACCCAAAACGGTTTCAGAAAACATAGATTGTTGAAAAAACAGAGTCTAAAAATACGTTCTCAATATTTGATACAGTTCTCGTTTGAGCAAAAAAGATTATCGTTTACGATTCAGCATAGAGAAAACAACTTAAAAATACTTCATACTGCTGATTAACCCTTTCCAGCCAGATGTTATCATTTGACAATATTGAGTCAGTATTTTGTGCGGATTGACTGATTGTGGAAGTATTTATCTTTTTTTAAAACTGAATAATTATTTTTATACATCGTGGTGCGTATGCATGTATCCGAGAAAAAAAAATATTCGTTTTACAAGCGAGTAATTAGATCCACACGTAGAGTCCTTGAAGAGTGTTCTAATCATAAAAACTTGTTTCTTCCCTGCTAGAAGATTTAATGTTGAGAGTAACTAGTGACTAATTTTGCTTACTAGAACTGCTATATATAGCACCACTAACCTAACATATTCAACGCTTCGCAACAGTAAAAAGTGCACTTGTTGCCGTTCGACATCATCCAGCCACAAACAGACAAAAATTTTGTAAAATTCATTTTCTGTCTGCCGCTACCAGACGTGATTTCTTATAAAGTAATGTTACAATACATGTATTCGACACGTGATCTATAAGTCATATATTGTACGCATGATTGACATAGGTCATTTTTCATCATATCAATATCAGAGGACACATCAAAAGTGAGAGTGAATTAGGGACGAGTCGAGACTAAGCTGTTTTTATTATTTTAGATGTTTTAGCATTGCAGTTCTCCTTTTACGTAAGTATTTTTTTCCGTCTATTTAGTTTTCTATTGTCTTTTGGATATTTCATTGACAAGTGTATTCATATTTCCTTTGTTAGTATTTGAATATTTCATCTCGCTCGCTGGTAATACAGATACCTTATTTTCGATAAAGTACAAGTCTCTTGTATAATTAAGGCTATTAATGATCACGTCTAGAAAAGTATCTAACAAACATCCGATTGTGCCAAACGGATGTAGTGAAGAAGAAGTTGCTTATTTTACAAAATTTTACAAAACGCAAAATTAGTTTACGAGTTTTTCAAAATTTTTATCCCATTGTGGCTCGATATTGCCAAGTGGCAACATCAGGCCATTAGAAAACTATATGATTCGAAAAAGACACTTTTGTTATATCAGTGACCAAGGTATACCGAATATACTACAAACGAATTTTTTACAGCTCTGGTGGTTTTGTAGCTGGCAGGAAAAGGGTTAAAAAAGGTATAACCGTTTTAATTAGTTAAGAAGTTTTTGAAAAGTGTAGTAAATCTGTTATAACTTGACGATACATTGTTATACTGATCTTCACAACTAGTGGCATAGCCATTGGATGGGCTGGGGCGGGCTCAGCCCACCCACTGATTGGTTTTACCCACCCACTAAAAGTTTTATAATTCACACTACTCTGCGCTAATGTCTACCATTTTGAAAAATTTTGGGCAACGCCCACCCACTAAACAAAATTCTAGCTACGCCACTATTCACAACGCCTCATTTTGAAGTGGACATTTTTCTCTATACAGATACATAGCTACAGAAAAAAAACAAAAAACTGAACACAAAGGAGTCATTGAATTTGTTGATCGGTGCAAATTTTAAAATTGTCGCGATAATAACAACAGCTGTTATTATCACGACAATGTAAAGGAGTGTTTAGATCGTGTTAAAGTAAACAGTTCTTTTTCGATAAGAATGTAAATGATCCCGAAAAAATGTTGAATTGATCTCTTTTTTAGAAAAAATTCTAAAAGATACTAATTTTCTATGCATGAATTATTTTCAATGCACACATGATGCTTTATGCAGTAAAAGCTTGGTTGTTTTTCTTCTGGAATGTGATCATATTTACTAAATCATATGCTCTGCAGTCAAAGATATTTATGCAAATACGTGACATTTTGTTGCGCTATAAACTGCTCAACTATACCTTTACAAAATGCTACGTAAAACAACTTTCTATGTGTGTGAAAATGAAGGTAATCTGTTGAATTTTACTAAGATCAGCAACATTTGTAAAAGTTGAACAGAACGATTAATTATGTGTATATCTATTATGCATAAATGTTTAGATTATAGAAAGTATCTACCCATCATGTACTTTTCAAATAAAAGCTAAATGATCGGCACATGATACATCTGCCGTTTACACATCAAAACCGCATGATCATCAACAATGTGACGTAATAAACAGACTAACATTCATAATAAATTTAACATATGTCTGATCATGTTTTATAACCGCCTGAATTAGAAAAGTAGTCAAAGTAGCACATTCACACGTTACAAATGATACAAAAATTCAAGACGTTTATTGTTCGGTCTTATTGACTGAAAACTTAATGCAGTATACAATTCATTTACAATTATGATGTATTGGGCGAAATATTTTTCCGGCATTAGATAAGCTACCACTACGGGATTTATTTGTACTAACCCCGATTTATACAGCGGTTAATGTTAATATAATATTTTTTTTATTTCCAAAATATTTGGTCAATTATTATTAATATGTAAATATTCGTCTATCTTAGAAATTGATTGCACATACAAAATTACTTCAGATGAATTATCCTTATTGCATTTGAAACATCATATCCTAATCGTCATTTTGATCCTATTATTATCCGTTCCTGAAGTGAACGCACTCGGTTGTTTTTTGAATAACTTTTGATAGGAACAAGATGAAGACCTGTTTGACAGCACGATCCACGTTTCCACCGTTTGACAGCCAAGATCCAGGAGCATATTTTTATAGGCCAAATCTTTCCTAAAAACAAATCCCAAAACCGGTTTTTCAAAGGATCTCTGAAAAACCACGCTGGATTTCTGAAAACTACCATAGGAGTCTATTGATCTTTTTACATGGATAGATAGCTCAGAGTATCCTCTACAAAACTAGATCTAAACAAAAGTTCTGTCTTACAAGGTTTAGACAAACCAGGCAGTTTTTCCGAAGCACTAGGACTTCCCTTTCTTTAGGTGTGGCACTATTGTAAACACATGAAAACATAGGTTATCGACTATGCTCAATCTCGTGGCAGTGTTAGTTTTCAGAACAAAATGCAAGAACTGAGTGAAAACCTATACTAGGTGAGATAACCAATTTTTGATTATTTTCATAAAAATTTAAAAAATTCATAACCGAGTCAAAAACTATTCAAACTACTTCAGAATTTCAGAAAACCCTCCATTTTAACTGCAGTTCAATAAGTTCTCAATAATGCTCAATAAATGTTAAAAAATCCAACAGAAAATACTTTGATTTCTAGAAAGGTTTCCCAGAAACCTTCGGAACTAAGAGAATACTTTTTTATTGATTTTACGTAAAGAATCAGAATTAGCGGGTAAAATAGAGTGTTTTCTGAAATTCTGAAGTAGTTTGAATGGTATTTGACTCACGGGGGAACCTCTCCAGATGTTAAATAGCTTTTCACTCGGGATCATTGCCGTTCGATAGGTCCTAGTGAGCAATGAAGAAGTCTATCTTAGTTTGAGTTCATGGGCCTCTGAGACTGAGATATTGAATTTTTATTGAATTTCTCCTGCAGGACCCCAGTTTTCCAGCAAATTTATATTTTCGAATTTTGATCTGAAACTTTGCCCACAAGAAGACCTCAATTAAACCAGCTTCCATAAAAAATTTCAGAACTTTTGAACAAAGTCTTTTCGAGATATGAATTTTTCAAGATATAGGCGCTTTTCCATAGATAGTGTATAAAACATGCATCTTTTGGAAAATTCATATCTCAGAAAGACTTTGTTCAAAAGTTCTGAAATTTTTTATGAAAGTTAGTTTAGTTGAGGTCTTCTTGCGGACAAAGTTTCAGATCAAAATTCGAAAATATAAATTTGCTGAAAAACTGGGGTCCTGCAGGGAAAATCCACTAAAAATTCAATATCTCTGTTCCAGAGGCCCATGCACCCAAACCAAGATAGACTTCTTTACTGTTCACTAGGACCTATCGAACGGCAATGGTCCCGAGCGAAAAGCGATTTAACACCTAAAGAGGTTCCCTCGTCAGTTATGAATTTTTTAAATTTTTATGAAAATTAAAAACGCTGAAAAAATTTAATGTTTAACAGAAAAATTGTATCATTTTAAATATAATTCTGTATTACATCTTATAACACAGGGAAGCAAAAAAAGAAGATTACAAATAATCTATAAAATAAAACTTTAACAAAAAAAAAGAACAACAGATAACAAAAAAGCAGCTTAACATGTCATTTTTCTTGAACGCACACACACACACACACACACACACACACACACACATACACACCAGACTTAGAAAAAAAATAAAATAAATATGGAATTTATTTCACGATATTACACCGGTACAAGAACAACGAGATTATTACAAGAAAAACATGTCTTTTTGGTATTCACAAGAATTATCAAAAGCAAACTATGACACTCAAGTACAGTGATTGAAAGAGAATTGTATTGCTCACACAAGCAAAGCTTGATTAGTCAAAATAATACTTCAATAATTGATGGACAAATAACAAATAACAAATAATAAATAATAAATTTGACGATAAAATCAAAAGAAAAGTAGACTTGAGATCATCGTTTTATTCTCACATGAGTATTTTATATCATTTGCACAATCTTTTGACTAGATAAAAAAAAATTATGCTATACACAAAAGTTGACCTACGAACCAAGAAAACTAACTTCACAACATTACTGTCGTTTATCAGTTGAAAATTCATCATTAGAAGAAGTGGGAAATAGTGAATGAAATGTATCAAAAGTTAAATTATTATTATTTGTTAAATAAGATGATGATTGTTTATTTTGAATGGTTGTAAAAGTACTACTGTTTTTTTGAGTAATGATATTTGTATTACTATTGTGTTCACGATATTGTTGTTGTTTTTTTAAAAATATTGTTTGTAGAATTTTAATACAACCACGTAACATTTTTGAAAACCAGTAGATATTAATTATATCTAATACGCTACAAACTGAAATGAGTACAAATCGAAAATGTCCCATATGAACCCACATTGGTTGTATAGCAACAACGTAAACTTTATACCAATAGATTGGCATGGCGACGATACGAACAAAGAAAAATAATAGTGTCATTACTAATCCATTGATAACAAATGGAGTAGAGGTTTTGGAAAATTTGAGTGTATCGAGAAACCACCTAAAATGGACAGATAAATGAAAATGTGGTTTTAATACTGAAGATATTTTCTGTAATTATTACGGCTCATTGCATAACACAAGATGAACATTCTCTTGTGATGGAATGTTAGATTTATTCTAGTGTGTAGAAAAACTGTCCAACGGAAACAAATGTTTCAAACAAAATGATTTTCATAACTGATGAAAAACGTCGCTGAATAAAAGAATTAGAATTAGTAACAAAATCTCTTTGTAAAGAACAAGAAGCGGATAAAACAAATCAATGTAGCTGATATGTTATCTCATGAAACTTGAGAATGAATGAATTTTATACAAAAAAAAGTTCAGTAAATAAGATGTTTGTCAAAGATATAAGACAAATCTGGCTTACCTCATATTAACAAACGGCGTAGATAATTCTGCTAATAGACGAAAATTAGCAAAATATGGCATTACATCGAGTGTCTTAAAAATAAAACGAAAATGAATCAGTGCATTAATATATAAAGAAAAGACTAAGGTTGTTCAATTCTTACCAAAACATAAGCGAAAGCATATATAGAAACAAGATGATGTGTTATGGTAAATGGATCACCCACTTTTTTATAGTGTATCAAACCGATTGTTGTATCTGATCACAAACAAAAATCGTGATAACAAACACTAGAAGTAGAACAAAACGATGCATACCTGCAGATAGATAACCAATAACAATTGCCAAATTTGTCTTCAAAAGATAAGATTTATAGCTGAAAAAAAGAACAAAAACAACAGACAATCAATTATTTCGAAGAAAAAAATATTATAAATACGTACAGTAACGGATTTGCTTCTAGACCTCGATCAGCTATCATCATATACACACATATTGTGCTCACTGTAAACGAATTAATAGATGAATTTATTCTAAAATAGCACACAAAGTCACCTTAGATGAATAAGTAATGATTGATAGTTTAACCCACCGAGTACTAAAATCAACTTTTTGTGTAATAGTAAAGTTTCTATAATTTTTAACCAATAAACCTGAGATGAATGGATTGACAAATTTGTACAAACTCATAAATATTGTAAAACTTGTTGCAACAACTGGTAGAAATGTTGGATCAAATTTAATATTGTTAATTTGAGAAAAAAAAGATGTAAATCGAGGACTATTTGTCATCATTTTAGATAAAAATTGAACAATAAATAAAAATTATCGTAATGTTTAATGAACTACTACACGTTTAAAAAGAATTGATAAACATGTTCGAAAAGAATATACAACTAAGGTACCGCTTCAACAGAAGATGAATTAATCATGACGTAAAGCATTTTTATCTAGAAGATAAATAAAAAATTTAGACATCTTGCGTATAAACTAAAATATCTGCATATTATTAGACAACAGAAAAGAATGTCATCCAAACAAATATTCATCTACAAATGACTATGGCACAGAGAGCTCTAAATATTAATCAATGAACGAAATGTACTTTATCATTCTGAGGTTAAGTCGAATGTTCAACAGACATATCAATTTGCTACAATGAATTTAAGAAAAAACTCAAATTTACTGGTTCTAAATAGTGGCAAAAGTTCATTACATGATCTTTACTTGCCGCAACGAAAAGTTTATTGTTTATCAGATACTTTCAGCAGAGTTCAAACATTAGAATAGTAATAAAACTTTATTCTTCTAAAAATCAGATGTGTTGAATCAGACAGAAGAAGTGCTCTGTGACCTGGAGGAAAGTTGTGTACTAATTGTTGAGAGAATAATTGTCGGTAATATATGTAATACACACAGTTGACGTATCTACACCAGATACAATCTTTAGTATTCGTTTAAAATCATTTAAGCTGAAATTATTAGAGAAACGATAGAAGTAGACAAAATAGTTTTAATGTACTTCTGATTAAGTATACCTACTTCTGACGTGTATTCTAAACAAAGTTGCACACATGTTAGCGAGAAACGCTAAGAGTTATTTTCAAACAAAGCTCACCTCCTTCGACATAAATCAAACTTTTTCTTGTGATCATCTCAAACAACTGAGATTGTCTTCTACGCAAAGTGTATTCATGATTTCTTGAATAAATAAGGATTTATATAAAGTCATGATATATAATAAATAAATAACGTCAATAAGATCTGTTCGTTCGGTTTTTTCTCATGTTGACTCATCAACCGCGTTCAATGATTCATCATATTTTTCATTGGCTACAAATATAACACACAGATTACTGTAGTAATTTGAACTATCACGCAACCATATCTGTTTGTTGTATTTAAAATGCTTTCAAGCAAATAACAGCTACAAAACTGACATGCACTTTTTAGACCGTAAAAAATGAAGGTGTTTTGAATTATTATTTTTCTCACGGTTGAATCTGTAGCCATATTAAAAGTTGTCTGTGATAAAAATACAGATATTTTGTACACATAATACAACACGAAGTAGGAAGTATATGCAATTAACGAGAAAGAAAAAAATATGCTAATTCGTCTAGTCAATAATAAGAGCACTTTTACGGCAAATTGACCAATACTAAGGTATCATAACAATACTTTTCCTAATAAAAGTTCTTGTAATCAAGAACTTGAATGCTTGAATTCTTCTTTTGGAGGCACCTGATCAAGAATGAATCAGTCTATGATCTTATATGTTTGTAAAGGTGTCATATACAACAAGAAAATGTATAAGAAATTTTCACTCGAGACCCTATAGTATTTTGTCTGGATTCATTCACTCAAGACCTTGAGTTAAATAATTTAAGAATCCAACATCTTGATTACAAGCAGTTTCATTTGTTTTGTTTTACATTCTATTTTTATCTAACTCCCATATGTCTTATTCGATCTCTGCGAACGAAAGAGTCGTTTACATTTATCAATCCTTTTTGAGTGAACAATTTGAAGTAAGTTTACAGATGTTCAAGTGTGAAAAATATGAGTTTTCAACAGTTTATTCATTAAACATCAATAGGTTATTCGCTTTCAAGACACGTCTTACCATTACCGTATTAGTTATTCATTTGAAAAAAATATTTTGTTTTTCTGCAAATTAATTCAGAACAACTCTTTTGCTTCAGTATATTTGTTACGTTTAATTAATAATATAATCATCCTTAAGGACGACATTTTTTTCGTATCTATTCAGAAGAATCATTATATCCATGAGAAGTAAACCTCATGAAGTACAAACACCGGCAAAAAATGAGTTGTACTACAATAAAATATACGTTTCATTGACATTCCATTGTCTTATTTCGCGTTGTTTTTAACTGTATCGAGATGTTTTAATTATCAAATTTTTTACGCGACTGAGTGAGTAACCAAATTTAAAAGCAGTTTTGAATTATTGTTATAAAAACATACCACAGAACTCTAACGAAAACAGATAAAAATAGATACTATTTATCTCTATAATGTCTTTCTTTTCTTTCGTTCTCGTGTTTTCCTTTTTTTCTACCACAATTAAGTCTACAACAAACGTCAACTAATTCGTGTGTGAAACTTGATTATTAAAAAAAAATAACACTTTCTTAAAAAATCCACTGCCAAATAGTGATCAGTTCCGAGATCTTTTCAAGGAATCTCAGTTACCTTCTAAACGGTTTAGCCCTTCTGTGAACTACTAGTAGAAAAATGATCTATTGCCGGTAAAACTAGTATGAAGACTTTTTTAATGTCTGTGTGTAGATTTACATACCTGTAGAGCGATCTCAATCCTAGCAACTAGCTTTTGTTACTTTTTTTTTCAATTTTATTATCTCTCATCTACCGCAACAGTTTAAAAGAACCTCCTCAACGCAAGACCATCACTCTTGGCAAAAATTCTTTAATTTTTTTAAACAGAATATAGTGTGTGTGTACAGTGGTTTCTCAAAATAAAAAAATCATGTACAAATCTGTCGCCGTTTGAAGGATGAATTCGCACGATATAGTGTATGATATCACCTCTTACTCTTATTCCGTTTTGTTAGGCATTTACCGATAAAATAGATTTATACTATTATTTCAAATGAATGTTCTGCGTTATTTGTTACCGTTTTTTTCGTACATTAAAGAAAAAGAAACATTTGTCTAGTAAAAAATAGAACAGGAAAAGTTCAATACGAAAGAAAAGAGAACAAAACATTATGTCAAAAACAACATCATATGTTTCGAAGTCGACATTCAGTTAACTAAAGCACACGCAAATCTTCTTCCTTAATGTTGAGCAAAATACTCTCTAAGTTTTAGCCAAAAACTGCTGAGAATTCTATGGCGGACAAATGAGTAGGAAAAAACAAATAAAAATTTTGCACAAAAAACCGAGAAAATATTAAAAGTATTAACAAAAACAGCACACTGAGAGAAGAATGTGTAAGTGTACAAGTAAAGAGCAGAAAAAGCAAAATACAAAAGTTTCATTCAAATAAATTATTGATAAAAAGAAAAAAGTATGCACAAAATCATAAGATATATTGGATCATTTGATTAGCAATGGTGTCAAACTTTGATTTCTGCTCTTAGTTACTATCTTCTAATTAATCCCAGTTTATTTGATTTAAGAAGTTCGGACGTAATGAACTACAGACAGTAAAAATCGTAGGACAGGTATATAAAAAAAATCAAAAAGGAGATATAATCTGACATTTAGTTGAGTATAAGAGAGAAGATCATTATTTGAGAAGAAATTCCAATTTTAAAATAATATTCTACTAAACTATACACATAAAAGATTCAAGACCGTGAAGTTGTTTCATACTCGAGCATTGCATCCAATTCTCGATTTAAATCACTTAGCATATCATCAATATCGTGTAAAACATTCGATGTATCATTTCTAAAAGATAAAAAGAAAAAATTGACAAATGAGAGTCACATTATCTATCTCAACATACCGTTGGGATTTATTTTGGTGTTCTTCTTTTTCTTTCTTTAACATTTCAATGTATTGCAAACGTTTTTCTTGCTCATTAATTACTGTTCGACCATTTCCATTTTTGAGTGATGGAGATTTTAAACTTCTAAGTTTTGTCGGCGAAGCACAATATCGTTCATTATTATCGTAAATGGCTGTCGTTATAGGATAGGATGGTTTTAATATATTTATGGATGTTCTTTGTTCAAAAAATTCAATTGGTAATGAACGTTTTATTGTTGAGCTATTTTCAGCTGATGGATTAAATGATGAGACTTTATCATCATTTCCATTTATTGTAGAACGTTGTTTGATTGTTCCAATATTTTCGTTAGCAAATGGGATACAATTCGATTCTGTACTTGATGATAGATTGCATAGCACTTGTAAATTTGATAAATAGTTTTGTTGTTGTTGGTGACTAGAAGAGGAATTTGTACGACGACACTGAGGAGAAGAACTCTAAAAACAGAGAACGATTGTATTATTTATACTTCTATTATGGACGGCATTAAATCAAATAATTCATATCTGACAAACAACTCATCTCATTCCTTGAGACATTTATGACGATAATGACGTCTTACTTGAGATGGTGATAACTTATTATGATTTGTTCCATTTTGATTCGAAGAAGAGTGAGAAAGACTGGTATTATGATGTTTCGGTGTTGATGTTGTTCTTGGTGACAGAATGGTCGGTGTTGCTCGGTTTGCATTTGTTGATAACAACGTTGGTGATGCGTCGTTGGTGCAAGAAGATAATGACGTATCGACATGTAATACGGCATCACATGTCGGTATACAATTATTTTTTAGATCGAATGGGTTTTTGTGTGTTCCGTTCGTAATGTGATAATCACCACCATTTATATTCTCTAAACTTCTCGTACGTGTTGCTGTTAGATTTAGCATATTTAAATTTGTTGCAGACGGAAGTGGCGGAGAGACGGTTGCCGATGGTAAACGAAATGAAGATGTGTGCAAACCGTAACCAGCAGGCAACGGACGTTTTAGACTATTAATTGAATTTGGAGAAGTAGGTGGTTTACGTAGTGTGGCATAGGAGGAGGATGAATCATTGTCGGAAGATCGATGAGTAGACGGTACTTGCCTAGAAAACAGACGTTATTTATTCTTTTGTTCTTGTATATTTAGATTAGGATTATACCTTTTCAATAGCTGTATTCGTTCATTTTGAGCATTATTGTTTTCGACTGAGTTACATCTTTCAATTGGTTTTGTTTGCCGGTTAGGAATCAATGGTCGATATTTTGTTTGTTGATCATTTGAATTAGTTTGCAGTGACGATTGTCTGCAGGGAGTGGATGGCGGTGGAAGATTAGTTACAAAACGGTTTCCATTCGGTGACATTGGTGGATTAGGCGAAGATAAATTGTTGTTGTTACTGTTAGGTTGATAAAGTCCTTTTTTGATGTCTTGCAACCGTTTAACTCCAAGCATAAATCGTTTTTGATGTCCTGAAATATAAAATAATAACTGTGACCAATAAATATTTTTCGTACCAAGTACATACCCAATCGTGTTATTCCTATATCTTCTAGATCTTCCCATGCCATATTCATCACATCATCAATTTGTTTATAATTTTGATCATGGAGTAAATCGATGTATTCGTTTAAACGTAGAAGACAAAGCCAGTCATAGACAGAATCCTTAAAAAATAAAAACAGATATACAAGTCATTTTACCTTCATATTTTTTGCCTCTAGTAGCTTTGACACATTCTCTCAAATTTTTATTAATATTTTCATTGATATTACCGGTTTATAATCAGGCAACCGATCGCCAACACGTAATTTTCCAATTTCATTTTTAAGTTTTCGTCGATGAGATGGATGAGTAATACCAATAGCCGTTAGATCCTTCAAAACGGATAATAAACAATTTTTGTTTTATTTTGATTAGTTCATGCTGATGGAATAACATACTTCTGGTGTCATTCTTGTTATGGTGTGTATATCATAACCATTTGCAATAAAATTTTCATAATAATCTTCGTATGAAAAATCTCGAAGCCAAGTTAAAACTATTTCATTCTCCTAAATCCATGAATAAAACGATTTATATAACTATAGGCGAGGATGTCAAAATAATTTTTTAGGCTTACCGGAACACCGTTTCGTAATAAATTATTTAAATTTGTGTTATTGGCTATTGTTAGAGATTCATCAAGACGATCAAGACTACTGTTTGAACTACGATAACTTGTTTTATCTTGATCCGATGATTTTGATTCACTACTACAAACCGAACGTGCATCGTTTATGGCAGATATTGTCCCATTAGTTAGATTAGTAATAACGTTGTAAGATAAGGGTGTATTCGTTGTCATAAAACTGGACAGTGTAGGAGGCTAAACGAGAAGAAATAACTAACTATTGAAGTAAAGTATATATACTGTCTTACTTTTGGACTATCATAAACAACTGAAATTGCGGTTGAACTTCTTCCGCTGTCAACACTACTGGCTGTTGAATGACGACAACTGCTGTTTGGACTGCCGCGACGCGAGCGATAGGAGGATGTTGTTAAACCTGAATCTGCTTGAGAGACTCGTGACATGGAGTCAAGGCTATCAACTGGTGACAAATCACCATTTAATAAACCACGATTATTATTGTTCTTGCCGTTATGATTCAAGTGTTGAGATGGTGAACTATCATTTTCCTTGATTGTTTCTTTAACTAGATCTAGAAAAGATGATAATGACATTCAGGTTGAATAAGATAAATTAGAATATAAGCAAGTTACTTGTTCGATGTCTCAAAACAACATTACTAGTTGACAATAGCTTGTTTTCATATGAAGAGGGAGAAGAAGTGAATAAACAAGCAGTAGCAGATGAAATTTCATTCGAATTTTGTTGCACAGCACCATTATAACAACGTTGATTAAAACGATTGGTGCTTGTTAAACCTAAGAGAAGCACAAGCACACACAAACAACTAAACAATAACACAAACATGCGTTTGCTTAGAGCAAGCAAAACGATCATATTATTGCGATGTGTTCATAACGATTACAACTCAAAATTTTTCAATGCTTTCCCGCACTTTGATGATGGCATGCATAGACAGGTTTATACGGCACATACATATTAATCATGCAAGTATCAAATAGGAATATGAGCGCAATTCAGTCTTACTTGAACGATCTAGTTGTCGATCGACTAATTGTACATATGTACTAGGAAAATATCCAATTCGCGTTGTCAAATTTTCTTTCAAAATGAATCCTCGCCATTCTCCACTTGGATTTCGTTCAAGCACCTAAAAATATAGACAAAAATTTTATCGAATAAAATTGTTCTTCGATAAAAGAAAAAAAAACGTCTTCTTTACCGTAATATAGTCGCCTTCTTGAAAATTTAATGCTCCAACATGATTATCTGTATACGAACGAATAGCACACACAGATACAGCATCACTGAATTCTAGACGAAATAGAACAAGCAGTCATCACTAAAAAGAGGAGAAATGAGAAAAAAAAAGAGGATTTCCTACCTTTTATTAAACGTTTAATATCATTGCCTGGTTTTTGTTTAATAACAACTTCATAGGCTGTTTGCTCATAAGAATTACAAATATTAATGTCGATTCCACACTACAATAGAATGATAAAAATATATTTTAGAAATATAGGATTAGGTTTTTATCATATACTTCTAATAAAACTTTTGCCGCTTCATATCTTCCATTTCTTCCTGCTTCATGTAACGCTGTGCCCTGAGTAGTTGTTTTATTTATATCCATTCCATTTAAGAGTAATAGACGCACAATGTCTGAATGACCATTTTTAGCTGCTAGATGCAAACAATTTGGTTGTGATTGTTGTGAATTGTCATTATCATTTGTCGAATTATTATTATTGTTATTATTATGATTGTTTGTATTGGAGTTCAACATACGTAAACATAAATGATTTTGTAATAATGAATTAACAACTTGACATCGTCCATTTTCACAAGCTAAGTCGATTGGTGTCAAATTACGACGATTTATAATTGTTGGATCAGCTTGATGAAAGAGTAATAATTGAACCTAAAAATAATGTTATATTCTTATTAAATAAGCAAAAGAATCTAACTTTTCTAATAATCAACTAACAACATCATTGTGTCCATATTGTGCAGCTAAATGCAAAGCTGTATCACCACTAATTGATTGTTCATTTACATTAGCACCACGTCGTAATAAAAGAAATACTGGTTCTGTTCTTCCTTGCCACGAGGCATAATGTAGAGGTCGAAGGCCTAAACAAGTCAGAAGCAAAGTTATTTATACTGCATGAAACATAAGATGCAGATATACGTATACTAGCGAATAAGAAATATGAGAAGTGATACTTTTTAATCTTTACTGCATGACACTCATAATACATTTATGATCTTTACTAGTTTTTCACTTTCAATAAATATATTTATCTCTCGGTAATTTATAACTTAAGTGGTATTATTATGTAAGAGAACAATAGCTATTAA